TCGCTCAGGCTGTTTCGAACTCCCTGACTTGAGCAATCCGCCCGCCGTCTCCTCCCCAAAAAGGCACTAGTGTATTACAGGCGTGAGCCACCGCGCCCGGCCTTAGAGATGTTTTTTTGGTTATTCACAACTGTAGGGGCATTACGCTAGTGACACCTAGTGGGCAGAGGCAAGAAATGCAGTTCCACGACCGATCACAGCCAGGACCGCCTCGTCACACCCACACCGAGTAAACTCTGCGTCATGCACCGGTCAGTCATGGGCCCGCTACTGAGACGGCCCCACTACTCTGTTCAGCCACAGCTCTGTGCCCACTCATCCCAGCCGTGCTGATCAAGGCTGTCGGCATGCTGAAGTGCCCCTTCTCCCTGAACATGTCTCATTTTCAGGCATAACCTCAAAGGTCACCCCTGGAAGAAAAGTTCCCTGAGCCCTTTCTGGTAAGATAAGGAGGTGTGTCCACCCAGTCATGTTCCATGTCAGCACCTTGTTCTTTTCCCTTAAAACTCATGTCAAAATTCCCAAGCATTTCACTGTTGGTGGGAATGTAAAATGATGCAGCTGCTATGGAAAACTGTAGGAAAGTTCCTCCTAATTTAAAAAAAATTAAAAACAGAATTGGGGCCAGGCACGGTGGCTCACGCCTGTAATCCTAGCACTCTGGGAGGCCTAGGCAGGCGGATTGCTCAAGGTCAGGAGTTCGAAACCAGCCTGAGCAAGAGCGAGACCCCGTCTCTACTATAAATAGAAAGAAATTAATTGGCCAACTAATATATACAGAAAAAATTAGCCGGGCATGGTGGTGCATGCCTGTAGTCTCAGCTACTTGGGATGCTGAGGCAGCAGGATTGCTTGAGCCCAGGAGTTTGAGGTTGCTGTGAGCTAGGCTGACACCATGGCATCCACTCTAGCCTGGGCAACAAAGCGAGACTCTGTCTCAAAAACAAACAAACAAACAAACAAACAAACAAAACAGAACTGGCCAAAGGCTACAAAGTTTCAGTAAGACAGGAGGAATAAGTTTTGGGGCTCCATTGCACAGCGTGCTGACTACAGTTCATGATAATGTGTTCTGTATTTGAAAATTGCCAAGACAGTAGATTTTAAGTGTTCTCACCACAAAAAAATGACTATGTGAGGTGATGGATAGGTTAATTAGCTTAAATTAATCATTCCATAATGTATACATAGCTCAAAACATCACATGGTACCCCACTAATATATAGTTATTATTTGTTAATTGAAAAATAATGCTACTTACCAAAAGATAAATACAAATGAAGTTACTATATGATCTAGCAGTTCTACTTCTGGGCATGCACCAAAAAGAGTTGAAAGCAAGGACTCAAAGAGATACTTGTGCACCCATGTTCATAGCAGCATTTCCACAATAGTTGGGAGGTGGAAGCAACCCCAATATTCACTGATGGATGGATGGATGGATAAATGAACTGTGGCATATTTTATACAATGGAATATTATTCAGCCTTATAAAGGAAGGAGATTCTGACACTGGCTGGAACATGGATGAAGCTTGAGGACATTATGCTAAGTAAAATAAGCCAGTCACAAAAAAAACAAATACTGTATGATTCCACTTATATGAGGTACCTAGAGTAGGCAAATTCATACAGACAGAAAGTAGAATGGTGGTTGCCAGGAGCAGGGCAGGGGGAGGAAGGGGGAGTGGGGTGTTGGTTAGCAGCAATAGAGTCTCCGTTTTGCAAGATGGAAAGTGTTCTGAAGATTAGTTGCAAAGCATTGTGAGTGCACTTACTGTACACTCAAGAATGGTTCAGATGATAAATTGCATGTTATGTGGAATTTTGCCACAATTTTAAAGGTGTTGGAACTTGGGCATGGTGGGTCATGCCTGTAATCCTAGCACTCTGGGAGGCCAAGGTAGGAGGATCGCTTGAGCTCAAGAGTTTGAGACCAGCCTAAGCAAGAGTGAGACCCGGTGTCTAATAAAAATAGAAAAATTAGCCGGGTATGGTGGCACACACTTGTAGTCCCAGCTACTCGGGAGGCTGAGGCAGGAGGATCACTTGAGCCCAGGAGTTTGAGGTTGCTGTGAGCTAGGCTGACTCATGGCACTCTAGCCCAGGCAACAGAGTGAGACTGTGTCTCAAAACAAAAACAAAACCAAAAACAAACTCCAAGACAAAAAAACCCAACAAATTAAAGGTGTGTGTAGGGAAGGGGAGTAAAAAGAAAAAGAAAAATAATTCCATGCATTTAAATTACTCATTCATTCAATTGAATTGTGCTTAGAATATAAGAGCCACCAGGACAGGGACCACATGTCTGGCTCCCTGCTGTGTCTGACACTGTTAATCCTGTTGTCAGGTCCTGTCCTCGCTTCTTTCCCAGTGGAATGTGCACTAGCCCAGAGCAGCGGTGTGCTATGTTTGCTGTGAGCTGACAATCCCAGGATTCCTTGCAGCCAGGTTGGCCCTGAGGACCACATTTGCCAATGAGTTCACCTACAGGGCGGATCCTGAGAAAGATTTTGTTTTTATAATAAAAGGGGCAGATGTGGCTAGTACAGGCTTTCCCCCCTCCTTTCTGCCTTGGACAAAAAGGGACACAATGCCTGGATATAATACGTCCACCTTGCCACACGGAAGAGAAAGCCAAGAGGATGACAGTCTCCAGCTCTGACACCATCGGGCCACCTCACCAATGCTGCAGTGGCAGACACTTTATCTTGTGAGGAAAAGAAACTTTTGCCTAACTATCATCAATGACTTTTAAAATTCTATGCGGCTGAAAGCATTTGTAATTGATAAAACTGCTGAGGCCGAATGTCTGCCATGATACCATGTTTCCCCGAAAATAAGACAGGGTCTTATATTTATTTTTCCTCAAGAAGACACCCTAAGGGCTTATTTTCAAGGGATGTGTAATTTTTTTAAAAGTACGGTACAACAATCTACATTTATTCAAATATAGTTAAGTCATCTTCTTCTGGAACATCATCATAACTCTCCAAACCCTGAATTCCATCCTGAATTTCTTGTGACTCTATTTCCTTTAGAACCATTGGCCCCAATCTGTCATGTCAAGCAATAGAGCTCTCATTAAGTGAGCAGGGCTGGCTTATTTGTCAGAGATCCAGCGAGCACTGGGTCCAATCTGCACAGTGGAGCAGAAATGAGCTCTCTGGGCTCAGCAGGACACTGCTTGCTGAAGCTTTTCCCACATTCCCTGGTGTCTGTGGGGGCTGAGAGAGGCCCACAGTGCTGAGTAAAATGGCAGCCACAGCTTTCCTTCTTCCCCCTGGGGACACACAATACCTAAAGTGGAACGTCCTGCTCCTCACTTCATTGAGGAGACTGGTGCCCTCAAAGCCTCAGCTTGCAGCACGCACAGGATGGCCGGGACCTGACAGGGGGAGCCGACCTTGTTGGTGGGGCTGCCCGCACCTTTCCGGTCACCTCTGGGACAGGAGCTATCACGAAGGGGCAGATGAGAAGGGCTGCTCGTCTTCTTTACCGCTCCACGACAAAATGCATGGGTTGTGCAGACATGCTGCATAGCCGTGCCCATCACTTGGGCTCATTTTCGGGGTAGGGCTTCTGTTGTGCAAATGCTTAGAAATCCTGCTAGGGCTTATTTTATGGGTAGGTCTTATTTTCAGGGAAACATGGATTTTGAAAGGAATTGGGCATTTGAACATGGTTGTTGAGTTAATCAGTGACTTGCGAAGGTGATGTCGGGGTTTTCTTTTGAACTTTAAAAAATTATGTTAAAATATACATAAGATGATATTTATCATTTTAACCATTCGTAAATATACATTAATTTAATAGCATTAAATACATTTACAATGTTGCATAGGCATCAACCACTACCTATAACCCAAATTTTTTCATCATCCCAGACATAAAACTCTCTACCCATTAAACAACAATTTCCCACTTGTTCTCCTTCCCCAGCCCCTGGAAACCACTGCTCTACTTCCTGTCTCTTTGAATCTAACTATGCAGGGATCTCATATAAGTGGAATCACACAACGTTTGTCCTTCAGTGTCTGGGTTATTGCACGTAGCATAATGTCCCCAAGGCCCATCCTATTGTAGCATGTATTGGGTTTTAGTCTTTTTTTTTTTTTTTTTTTTGAGACAGAGTCTCGCTTTGTTGCCCAGGCTAGAGTGAGTGCCGTGGCGTCAGCCTAGCTCACAGCAACCTCAAACTCCTGGGCTCAAGCAATCCTCCTGCCTCAGCCTCCCGAGTAGCTGGACTACAGGCATTCGCCACATGCCGGCTAATTTTTTGATTATATATTAGTTGGCCAATTAATTTCTTTCTATTATAGTAGAGACGGGGTCTCGCTCTGCTCAGGCTGTTTCAACTCCGACCTGCGAGCAATCCGCCCGCCTCGGCCTCCCAGAGAGCTAGGATTACAGGCGTGAGCCACCGCGCCCGGCCTTAGTCTTTTTTTAAAGGCTGAGTAATATTCCATTGTATGTATATGCCACATTTCGTTTGTCCATTCTTCTGTTGATAGACATTTGGACTGTTTCTACTTTTTGGCTACTGTGAATAAAGCTGCAATGAACACTGGTGTGCAAATATCTGTTGGAGACCTTGCTTTCAATCCTTTTGGGTGTATACCCAGGAGCGGAATTGCTGGATCTTATGGAGATCCGTGTCTAACCTTTGGAGGAACCGCCAAACTGTTTTCCACAGCCGCCACGCCACGTTTCGTTCCCACCAGCCACGCACAACAGTTCCAATTTCTCTGCATCTTCACCAACATTTGTTATTTTCCATTTAAAAAATTATAGCCACCCTAATAGGCGCGAATTGATATCTCCTTGTGGTTGGATTTGCATTTCCCTGTGAGCGATGGAGAGTTTGTGGGAGAAGGGGAAGGCGGACCCTGCAGCTCCAGGCTGGCCCCGGAGATAAGCGGGGTTCCCTGGAGCCCGTGTGCAAGTCACGGTCCCGGGGAGGCGGCTCCAGCCCCACGAGTCTCCATTAGGAAAAGCCCCAGCTGCCTGGCCACAGCGCTCAGGCCCGGGCTGAGGAACCATGTCTCCATCCCCGTCCGCGCTCTTCTGCCTCGGTGAGTCCTGAGGGTCCATCTGGGAAGCGCCCAAGCAACAGGCACTGAGCTGCCAGACAGAGAATTTGCTTTTTTTAAGTTGCATCAGCGATAAATTCCAGAGCAAAAGGGCTACAAGAGTCTGTTCATTTGTCGGGTGGGAAAATTGGGACCCAGGGGGGTGGCGTGTTTTGTTTGCATGATTTATTCCTGTTTTCTCACGGCTGGGTCAGGAAGTGAACGCATGTCTCCTACAGTTGGTGGCAACTTTCTTCCACGACGCTCAGTTGCTTTTCTTCCTTCTAAATAGCAGAACTAGGTTGTAGATTTAATTTGCCAATATCCCTTACAGTAGTGCCGCCAATAAGAGTCTCCTGCAAACAGGCGAAGGAGGTCAGATGCGTTTCTACTGCCTCTTCTACACCAGGCTGTGCAGGCGAGTCGTGGGCATAATTTCCTCATTTCTTCAGGGGAATTTACTGCTAAAGGGACAGTCTCCAAGAGGGTAAGCAGGAAGGAAACCATTGTGTTTTGGGGGATAAGATGGCAAGCTATTAATACTAACGACCTCTCATTCCTTCCTTCCTCCATTCATTTGCTTACTCATTCTTTTTTTTTTTTAGCTTTTTTTTTCAGCATACTATGGGGGTACCAGTGTTAAGGATACGTTTATTGCCCTTACTCCCTCTCCCCCCTCGAGTCAGAGCTTCAAGCGTGTCCACCCCCCAGTTGGTGCACATCGCACTCATTATGTTTGTATATACCCATCCCCTCCCCCCATCTGCCCGACACCCGATAGATGTTATTCCTACATGTCCACTTAGGTGTTGAGCAGTTAATACCAATTTGCTGGTGATCACTCATTCTTTTTTTTTTTTTTTTTTTTGAGACATAGTCTCACTTTGTTGCCCAGGCTAGAGTGAGTGCCCTGGCGTCAGCCTAGCTCACAGCAACCTCAATCTCCGGGGCTCAGCGATCCTCCTGCCTCAGCCTCCCGAGTAGCTGGGACTACAGGCATGTGCCACCATGCCCAGCTAATTTTTTGTATATATATTTTTAGTTGGTCAATTAATTTATTTCTATTTTTGGTAGAGACGGGGTCTCGCTCAGGCTGGTTTCGAACTCCTGACCTTGAGCAATCTGCCCGCCTCGGCCTCCCAAAGTGCTAGGATTACAGGCATGAGCCACCACGCCTGGCCTGATCACTCATTCTTTAACACACTCTTAGGTAGCATTTACTGTGGTCTAGATATTATTATGTACTTTTTTTTTATTAACAGACACTAACTCATTTAATCCCCAACAACTAATGAGGTAGAGTCTATAATGACCCTTATTTTACAAATGAGAAAACTGAGACCCAGAGAGGTGAAGTAACTTGATTAAAGTCACACAGCTAGGGCTTGAATGCAAACCAAGTCCACACTTGTGGTTTTTTTTTCTTTTCTTTTTTTTTTTTTTAGTCTTTATCTTCTTTCTTTTTGCGGGAAGGGGCTGGTTGTTTCTATTTATTTTCTAATTGATGAATAAAAATCGTACATACCTATAGTATACAACTATGATGCCTGGATCTATGTGTACACCGTGGAAAGGCAAAATCAAGCTTTTCACATATGCATTACTCACTTTTTTTGTGTGATGAGAACATTTAGGATCTACTGTCTTAGGGATTTTCAAGTATATGATACATTTTTATTAACTATTGTCACCACAATGGACAATAGATGTCCAGAACTTATTACTCCTGTCTAACTGAAACTTTGTATCCTTTGACCAACATTTGCCAACCCCTACCCAGCCATCCCTGGTAACCACCGTTCCACTCTCTGCTCCTGTGGGTTTGCAAGTCCATGTTCTTCACCAATAAACTATGCTGCTAGCGTTTGAATCTACCTTCTACCAGCTGTGGGGCAGTGCATGAGATACTGTCTCAATAGCCTGATCTATAAAACAGGGCTAATAATGGTTGCTAACCAGTAGGATTATGGTGACACGGGGTCTAAACATAGAAAGTGCCCATCGAGGCGCCGGGAATATTTCCAAACATGCGAGAGGGTCGCAGGGTGGAGGGGACTCACAGAAAGACTGAGGTGGGCTGTGTTGGGGGAGGGGAGGCAGAGATGTAGGTGGAGCTTGGGCACAAGATGCAGAGGGCACCTGGGGTGGGCCCAGAGGGGGAGTTGGCGGCTGGTGACAGTGTCACTCTCTGAGCTCTGGAGTCAGAGACTATCTGGGTTCAGCCACTTCTTGCTGTGTGAGCTAAAGGAGGATGCTTGGCCTCTCCAGTTTCCTCATGTTTATAATGGGAATGATCCCTCCTTCGTGTGTGTGTGTGTAAGAACAAGGGCTGCAAGATGAAACAGGCTAAATTTGAATTTCAGAACTTCAGATAAACAAGTACTATTCTTTTCTTCTCTTTTTTAAACATCATGGGACATACACTAAAATATTTCCTTGTTTATCTGAAATTCAAATGCTGAGTCCTGTATTTTTATTTTCCAAATATGGCAACCCTAGTGAAATTAAAACAGATCATGTTAGGCTGGGAGCAGTGGCTCATGCCTGTAATCCTAGCACTCTGGGAGGCCGAGGCGGGCAGATTGCTCGAGTTTAGGAGTTTGAAACCAGCCTGAGCAAGAGGGAGACCCCATCTCTACTATAAATAGAAAGAAATTAATTGGCCAACTAATATATATAGAAAAAATTAGCCAGGCATGGTGGTGCATGCCTGTAGTCCCAGCTACTCGGGAGGCTGAGGCAGGAGGATCACTTGAGCCCAGGAGTTTGAGGTTGCTGTGAGCTAGGCTGACGCCACGGCACTCAGTCTAGCCTGGGCAACAAAGTGAGACTATGTCTCAAAAAAATAAAAATAAAAAAAATAAAACAAATCATGCTACCGGCTCGGAAGAAAGACAAAAAAAAGAAAGAAGGAAAAAGAAAAGAAAATCAGAGCTTGGGAGAAGGAGGGCAGGTGTTTAGCCCAGAGAAAAGTTAGTTCAGATAGAAGGAAAGATGGGAGAGGGGAATGCATCTAAGGGGAAAATCGAAATTTATAGATTATGCAATTTGGTAGATGCTGTGTAAAGTTACATAGAAAGGCTATTGAGAATTATAGCAATAAGTTCAAGGGAAACTACACAGATGGAAGTAAATCAGGCATTATTGATTCCAGAGAAAAAGAACAGCAAAAATGTATAAGTACAACATTATAACCCTCAGGTGTGAAGTATTTGCACAGTCGTAATAAAGTAATCACAGAACGTTGATTTAACCAAAAAAGCAGAAAATAGTGGGAAATCTACAGTTCTGGGATATGGTGACATATGACACAAGAGACTCCATCCTGCAAGTGGCACCTCAAGGGGGTCCTTCCCTCCCCCACTGTGCAGGGGGGTGGGAGCTGAGCAAGTGGCTTCCCACGGTCACTGGAGGGTTTCCTCAGTTCGTTTGTGGTCAGTCGAGGGCAGGTTTCACTGTCTTTATTGCGGTGCTTCCTGTGACCATATAGACGACTGAAAAGTGTTAACTTTCCAATGACACATTTACATATTTTATTTTATTATTATTTTTTTTTTAAGACAGAGTCTCGCTTTTATTGCCCAGGCTAGAGTGAGTGCCGTGGCGGTCAGCCTAGCTCACAGCAACCTCAATCTCCTGGTCTCAAGCAATCCTCCTGCCTCAGCCTCCCGAGTAGCTGGGACTACAGGCATGCGCCACCATGCCCGGCTAATTTTTCTATATATATTAGTTGGCCAATTAATTTCTTTCTATTTATAGTAGAGATGGGGTCTTGCTCTTGCTCAGGCTGGTTTCGAACTCCTGACCTGGAGCAATCTCTGCCTCGGCCTCTCAGAGTGCTAGGATTACAGGCGTGAGCCACCTGGCCAGGGCCACATTTACATATTTTATTTGATGAATTTTGGGGCCTGGTGTATCTCATTAGTGAGGGGTTTTATCGTACACATAATGAATACAATGCAACAACACACAAGTGTTTACAATGCCTGTCTACACAATCCTGTACTGCTGTACATGCCCGTGGGTGTTAGTGGCTATTGGGAGAGTGCAGGGAAAAGAAGGAAACAGCAAGATCAGTGGTTCGAATCCTCAAGGCCACAGCGGAAGTCAGTGTGCCGTGTCTAGTGAATCCAGAGGGACGGCTAAAATAGAAGTGTGTGCAGTGGGAGAGCGGTAGGGGTTGGAGCTGGACAGTGTGGGGCGGGAATCCCTGTTTGACTTTTATAAAATTTTTTATTGAGGGCCGGGTGTGGTGGCTCACGCCTGTAATCCTAGCACTCTGGGAGGCCGAGGCGGGTGGATTGCTCGAGGTCAGGAGTTCGAAACCAGCCTGAGCAAGAGACCCTGTCTCTACTATAAATAGAAAGAAATTAATTTTGGCCAAATAATATATTTATAAAAAATTAGCCAGGCACGGTGGCACATGCCTGAAGTCTCAGCTACTTGGGAGCCTGAGGCAGCAGGATTGCTTGAGTCCAGGAGTTTGAGGTTGCTGTGAGCTACGCTGATGCCACGGCACTCACTCTAGCCTGGGCAACAAAGCGAGACTCTGTCTCAAAAAAAAAAAAAAAAATGTTATTGTGGTCAAGTACACAGAGTGGAAAATTTGCTGTAACGGACATTTGGTACATAAGCTACGTTGCACAACCGTCACCTCTGCCTAGTTCTGAGACTTTTCCATCACCCCCAGAGGAATTTCCTTGCGGGTTCAGCAGTCACTTCCCAGGTCTCCCCCCAAACCATGTAACTGCTTTCCGTCTCTATGGATTTGTCTATTCTGGACATTTCGTGTAAATGGCAGCACACAATAGGTGGCTTTTTAAAAATTTCAAAATATTTTTGTTAAGTTTTTAGTTTCAGCAAATCACAGGTTAGGTTACATATATTGCCCTTGTCCCGCCCTGAGTCAGAGCTTCAAGTGCAAACTGCACCCATTAGGTGTGTGTATACCCAATGCCTCCCCCCCCACCTGCCCGACACCCGATGAACGTTACTCCCCTATGTGCGCTTAAGTGTTGATCAGTTAAAACCAATCTGATGGTGAGCACATGTGGTGCTTGTTTTTCCATTCTTGGGATACTTCACTTAGTAGAACGAGCTCCAGCTCCATTCAGGATAATACAAGAGGTGCTAAATCACCACTGTTTCTTGTGGCTAAGTAGAGCTCCATGGTATACATATACCACTTTTTATTAATGTGCCACATGTATTGATGGGCACTTGGGCTGTTTCCACAGCTTTGCAATTGTGAATTGTGCTGCTATAAACGTTCTAGTACAGGTGTCTTTTTTATAGAATGCCTTTTGTTCTCTTGGGTAGATGCCCAGCAATGGGATTGCTAGATCAAAAGGTAGATCCACTTGTATCGCTTTGAGGTATCTCCATATTGCTTTCCACAGAGGTTGAACTAGTTTGCAGTCCCACCAGCAGTGTAGGAGTGTTCCTCTCTCTCCCCATCCACGCCAACATTTATTGTTTGGGGACTTTTTTTTTATTTTGTCATATTATAGGGGTACAGATTTTAAGGTTTCAATAAATGCCCTTTCCCCCCCTCCCCCCACAAGTCTGAGTTTCCATGTTTGGGGACTTTTTTGATAAAGGCCCTTCTCACTGGAGATAAGTGATGTCTCATTTGATTTGCATTTCCCTGATGATTAGAGATGTTGAGCATTTTTTCATATGTTTGTTGGCCATTCTTCTGTCTTCTTTTGGGAAGTTTCTGTTCGTGTCCCTTGCCCACTTTTTGATAGGGTTGTTTGATTTTTTTCTTGCTGATTTTCCTGAGTTCTGTATAGACTCTGGTTATCAGCCCTTTATTTTAAGGAGGTACAAGTGCTTTAGGTTACATGGACGGCTTTCGTAATGCTTGAGTCTCGGCCGTGGGTGTGCCGTCACCCAGTGAGTGTTCGTGGCACCCATTAGGTTGTTTTCTTCTCCTTCCCCTCCCCCTCCCTCCTGCTTGATTTCCACTGAGTTTTGCTTCCCTCGGTGCATGTGTGTGCTGGCGTTAGTTCCGATTTAATAGTGAGTCCATGTGGCTTTTTTTTTTTTTTTTTTAGAGATGGGGTCTCGCTATGTTGCCCAGGCTGGAGTGCAGTGGCTATTCACAGGCGCGATCCCACTACTGATCAGCACGGGACATGTGGCTTTTTGTGACTGGCTTCTTTTAGTTCAATTTTGTGCAAATGTGTGTCTTTGGAAAAAATAAAATGATAGCAGAATAAAGCGAACGCATGCCAATGTCCCGGTCTCGCCGTGCCCGGCAGGCAGCCAGTGTCCGCTGAAGCGGGGTCCTGGCATCTGGTCCTTTCCTTCCTTCCTCAGGGCTGTGTCTGGGGCAGGTGCGAGCACGGAGCGGTGAGTCCTTGGGGGTCCCTTGGGCGGGAGGTGGGCAGGGTCGGCCTGGGGGGGTCTGTCTGGACGCTGGCGCCGGTCCCCTCTCCCTCAGGAGCACTCCCCAAGCCCACCCTGCAGGCCGTGCCCAGCCCCCTGGTGCCCCTGGAGAAGCCGGTGACCATCCGGTGCCACGGGCCTCCGGGCGTGGATCTGTACCGCCTGGAGAAGCTGCGGTCGGGCAAGTACCAGGACCAGGCCCACCTCTTCATCCCGGCCATGAGGAGAGAGCACGCCGGCCTCTACCGCTGCTCCTACCAGAACGCCAGCCGCTGGTCCCCGCCCAGCGACCAGCTGGAGCTGGTGGCTACTGGTACCCAGGGGGGAAGGGCTGGGGCGTGGCTGGATTCGGGGCCCTGGGCTGCGTGGTCCCCAGTTTTGGACGCAGGGGATGTCAATGGCAGTGAATCCCACAGGGCCGGATTAGGGTGACACCAGTGAGGCATTGGCCTAGGGGGTGGGGGTGCCACAAAACTCATGAATCAACATGAGTAACATTTTAATGCCATTTTTTTTAAAAAAAGGCAATTCCAAAAGCATCCATGGTGAACAACATATCCCAATTTTATTTTATTTTTTTCTTTCTCTTTTTTTGAGACAGAGTCTCACTCTGTTGCCCAGGCTAGAGTGCCGTGGCATCAGCCTAGCTCACAGCAACCTCAAACTCCTGGGCTCAAGCGATCCTCCTGCCTCAGCATCCCAAGTAGCTGGGACTACAAGCACGCACCACCATGCCCGGCTAATTTTTTCTATTTTTAGTTGTTTGACTAATTTCTTCCTATTTATAGTAGAGACAGGGTCTTGCTCTTGCTCAGGCTGGTCTCGAACTCCTGAGTTCAAGCTATCCTCCCGCCTCGACCTCCCGAAGTGCTAGGATTGCAGGCACAATTTTAAATAGATAGCATCTGGCAGTGTTGGTGCCAAACCACATCGAAGCCTAAGGCAGAAGGAAAAATGGGCACTCCTCTATCTGTGTGGTCATGCACTTGATTGTTTAAAAAATTAAGCTGGGCGCGGTGGCTCACCCCTGTAATCCTAGCATTCTGGGAGGCCAAAGAGGGTGGATCGTTTGAGCTCAGGAGTTCTAGACCAGCCTGAGCAAGAGCGTGACCCCATGTCTACTAAAAATAGAAAGAAATTAGCTGGACAACTAAAAGTACATAGAAAAAAATTAGCTGGGCATGGTGGCACGTGCCTGTAGTCCTAGCTACTTGGGAGGCTGAGGCAGCAGGATTGCTTGAGCCCAGGAGTTTGAGGTTGCTGTGAGCTAGGCTGACGCCACGGCACTCACTCTAGCCCAGGCAACAAAGTGAGATTCTGTCTCAAAAAAAAAAAAAAAAAAGTTGTTGAATGAATGAATGAATGAGCCATAATTATCAGGCTGCTTTGATGACTCTTGGGTGCCAGGCATGTGTCACCATGCTAACCTCAAATTAGAGTGGTGCAGGTTTGCATGTAGCAGTGGAGACCCTGCAGTCGAACTCCCTGATTGCAAATTCAGCTCTGCCACTTATCATATGACCTTAGACAGGTTAACTGACTTCTTGATTTTTACATTTTTTAAAACTTTTTCAGCTTTGTTGAGGTGTAATTGGCAAACAAAAATGTTGTATGTTTAAGGTGCACAACTGGATGTTTTCAAATACATATACACTGTGAAATAGTCACCACCATCAAGATAATTAACATCCCTGTCACCTCACATAGTTACCTTTGTTTGTTTCAAGTATGCAATACATTATTGTTACCTAGTGTTGAACAAATTATTTAACACCATGTGCCTCAGTTTCATATATAAAATAGGGATATTAATAGCGATGAGTGCATAGGTCTTTGTGAGGATTCCATGAATTTATATATATCAGGAATTTGGGACGGCACCTGAAGCTGGTACTTTAATACAAGTTTACAATATAACTTCTAGGCTGGGCTCACGCCTGTAATCCTAGCACTCTGGGAGGATAGCCTGAGCTCAGGAGTTTGAGACCAGCCGTAGCAAGAGCGACACCTCATCTCTACTATAAATAGAAAGAAATTAGCCAAACAATTAAAAACAGAAAAAATTAGCTGGGCATGGTGGCGCATGCCTGTAGTCCCCACTACTCGGGAGGCTGAGGCAGGAGGATTGCTTGAGTTTGAGGTTGCTATGAGCTAGGCTAATGCCACAGCACTCTAGCCCAGGCAAGAAGGTGAGACTCTGTTTCAAAACAAACAAACAAAAAACAATATATAGCAGGGCGCGGTGGCTCACGCCTGTAATCCTAGCACTCTGGGAGGCTGAGGCGGGCGGATTGCTCAAGGTCAGGAGTTCGAAACCAGCCTGAGCAAGAGCAAGTCTCTACTATAAAAATAGAAAGAAATTAATTGGCCAACTAATATATATAGAAAAAAATTAGCCGGGCATGGTGGCACATGCCTGTAGTCCCAGCTACTCGGTAGGCTGAGGCAGAAGGATTGCTTGAGCCCAGGAGTTTGAGGTTACTGTGAGCTAGGCTGACGCCACGGCACTCACTCTAGCCTGGTCAACAAGCGAGACTCTGTCTCAAAAAAAACCCTATAACTTCTGTATACTGTAATACAAGCTTATAATATAGTATAAACTTGCATGATTTTGTTACTACTGTCCTATTTTGAGTGCTTGGTCTGCTTTCTGCACTCTGTTAAATGCTTTCTATGTCTTGCCTCATTCAATCATCCCCATTTTACAGTAGGGGACACTGAGGCACAGATACAGTGGGAGATTTACCTCCAGGGCGCACAGCCCCTAAATGGCAGAGCCCAGGCACTAGGATGTGACACAGCCATACTCCCTTAACCTCTTGGTGACCTGACCCCACCTGTCTGTGAGCTCAGGCAGGGGAGTGAGCGCTCCAGGAGGGATGTAGCCAGAAAGGGGTGGGGCGCAGGACCTCCCCTCCCTGGCAGCTGAGACACAAGCGACCACTGTCTTTAACATCAGAGTTTCTTTTTCTCCCAGGAGTTTACAACAAGCCTTCACTCTCAGCCCAGCCCAGCCCGGCAGTGTCCCCAGGAGGGGACGTGACCCTACAGTGTCAGACTCCCTATGGCTTTGACCAATTTGCTCTGTACAAGGAGGGGGACCCTGAGCCCTACAAGAATCCCGAGATGTGGTACCGGGCCAGTTTCCCCATCGTCACCGTGACTGCTGCCCACAGCGGGACGTACCGATGCTACAGCTTTTCCAGCTCAAACCCGTACGAGTGGTCAGCCCCCAGCGACCCCCTGGAGCTCGTGGTCACAGGTAAGGGGTGTGCAGACCAAACCTTTCCTCCTCGGCCTCTACAGGTTCTGAAGGCAGTTCCGAGGGTAGGGACCGTCGCTGCACGGAACGGGAGGCAGGCACGCCCCGGGCTCCCAGCTTTGCAGGATGTATTAGTTTCCCATCGCTGCGGGAACAAACTGCCACGCACTCACCGGCTTACAACAGCACAAGCTTATTACCAATTTATCACCTCACCATTCTGGAGGTCAGAGGTGAGACCAAAGTGGGTCTCCCTGGGATACAATAAAGGTATTGACAGGGCTGGTTCCTTCTGGAAGCGCTAGGGGAGAATCTGTTCCATGTCCCTTCCAGCTCCTGGAGTCCCCTGCATTTCTTGGCTTTTGGAGACTTCTTCCCTTCTTATATCTTTTTTTTTTTTTTTTTTTTTTTTTTGAGACAGAGTCTCACTCTGTTGCCCGGGCTAGAGTGCTGTGGCATCAGCCTAGCTCACAGCAACCTCAGACTCCTGGGCTCAAGGGATCCTCCTGCCTCAGCCTCCTGAGTAGCTGGGACTACAGGCATGTGCCACCATGCCCGGCTAATTTTTTCTACACATTTTTAGTTGGCCAATTAATGTCTTTCTATTTTTTTTTGAGACAGAGTCTCACTTTGTTGCCCAGGCTAGAGTGAGTGCCGTGGCATCAGCCTAGCTCACAGCAACCTCAAACTCCTGGGTTTAAGTGATCCTCCTGCCTCAGCTTCCTGAGTAGCTGGGACTACAGGCATGCACCACCATGCCCGGCTAATTTTTTCTATATATATTTTTAGTTGGCTAATTAATTTCTTTCTATTTTTAGTAAAGACGGGGGTCTCGCTCTTGCTCAGGATGGTTTTGAACTCCTGACCTTGAGTGATCCTCCCACCTCAGCCTCCTAGAGTGCTAAGATGATAGACATCAACTGATGCAACTGTAGAACAAGTATTGATGTTTCATGCTCACCTTGTTTTAGGATTATGTATTTTCATAAGTATTTGAAGCCAGTCAACTTATTTAAAATATCTCCATATAGAGAAGACTAGTCATTCTATTAGCAATGGGAAAATTCTCCTTCTAGTTATCAGTAAATTAAAAAAGATAGTACACGGTACAATGAAAATGTATTTGTATTCAGACTTATTTTCATTCAAATCCAGTTAGTGAGGTCATTATTAACTAAAAGTTGCTGTCTTTTTTTTAAAACTAGCTTTATTGTAGTATAATTTATATACATTAAAGTTCACTCAGTTTTGAGTGTCCAATTCATAAAGTTTAGTAAGTTTTTGAGGGTTGTGCAATCTTCAGATTCCAATATTAGCACATTTCTATCACCCTAAGAAGATCTTGTACCCATTTGCAGTGACTTCCTGTTCCACCCCCTCAGCTCCAGGTAACCACAAATCTACTTCCTCTTTGTAAAAATTTGCCTTTTCTAGGAACTTGATATCCATAGCACTACGTGGTCTTTCATAACTGGATACTTTGAGCATAATGTTTTTGAGGTTCATTTATATTGTAGCATGTATCAATCTTTTATTCTTGTTTCTTTAATTTTTATTTTTGACAAATGATAATTGTATGTATTTATGGGGTATCATGTGATGTTTTGATATATTTATACATTGTGGAATGATTATATCAAGTTAATTAACACATTCATCATCTCATCTATTTATCGTTTCTTTGTAGTGAGAACATTTAAAATCTACTCTTTTAGCAATTTTGAAATATACAGTACATTATTATTAATTATGATTACTATTCTTTTTTTTTTTTTTGAAGACACAAAGTTTGCTTGTCCCCAAGCTAGAAAAAAGTGAGTGCCCTGGTGTCAGCCCCTAGCCACAGCAACCTCAAACTCCCTGCAACACTCCTGGGCTCAACATGGGCCACCATGCCCAGCTAATTTTTCTATGTATATTAGTTGGCCAATTAATTTATTTCTATTTATAGTAGAGACAGGGTCTTGCTCTGGCTGGTTTCAACTCCTGCCTCGAGCAATCCCCCACCTGCCTCGGCCTCCCAGAGTGCTAGGATTACAGGCGTGAGCCACCACGCCTGGCCCTATGGTTACTATTCTTAAAGGGGGATTCTTTCAAAAGGAGACAGTATATCTCATGAAGAGAATGTGTACACACACACATATCATACACGCGATGGAATATTATGCAGCCTTAAAATGGAAGAACATTTTGATAAATACTACGACATGAATGAACCTTGAGGACATTATGCTGAATGAAATAAACCAGCCACAGAAGGACAGAAACGGCATGATTCCACTTAAATGGGGTATCTAATGTATCTAATATAACCAAAATTACAGACAAAAAAGAGAAGGGGATTGCCAAGGGCTGGGAGGAGGGAAGAGAAGAGAAGGAATTAGTGTTTAGTTGGGCATCGAGTTTCAGTTTTTCAAGATGAATACGTTCTAGAGATCTATTGTTACCATAA